AACAGTATTTTTAACTGCACCTGTGCAATAGTGTTGTCCTAAACCTGGGTTCTTCATGCGGTGTGCAAGCCAGTAACACAAACAGTAGAGGTATTTCCAAGTTTATTTCATTGATGCACAGGAATGGGTGCCTGTCTCAAGACAGCACACCCTAACTCAAGAAATTTCCACATTTATACAGACATTATTGCATATGCAAATGACTAATGCATATTGATTATTATTCTCTCTGGTGATTGGTTTTACTTTCCTCACTTCTCATGTAAATTATAATGCAGACTGTGTAAAATCTACCATTGTTTCATTTTGAGTAGATGGTATCATTTGCGTAGGTGGTCAATAGTCAGTGGTCACAATCTCCTCCTGCCAGAATAATATTTTACCTACTTCTCCAATCTTGGCAGTTCCGGTTGGTTCTTTATGGTTTGCTGACTAAACACACAATTCTTCATTCTTTCTGACAGGAGTATCCTGCTTACCAACAGTGCCACACTGTACAGCTATTACTCCTCTATTTTAGCTAGTAAATAGTAGGACTGGGGATATACATAGGACTTTAAGCAGCGACCAAGTTTTTGATTCTTTCAATTACATTTCACATTTAATTTTCTTTAATTAATATCTAATACAACAGCAGCATTAAAAAAAAAAATCCACCCGAAACTGCCAATATCACATCAAGAACCTAAATTTACAGGCTACAACTCAGCTGATACATCATAGCAATTCACCTTATTAGGCAGCCTATAGGAATTCAAAATCCTGAGAGCAGTTTATAGTGCTTTAAATTACGAGTCATGAATCATGCAGCAATACAGTAATGCTGTTGGATATATTCATTTCTGCAGTTACTGAAAGATTATGAGGCCATGAAACAGATCACAGCAGTTTTAATTTTTGATGTTGCTAACTCTATATTGACCATAGACAACATACGATTTGCATAAAGTACTCTTGCTCATGTCAAAAGCCATTGATACTAGGTATTAGACCTTACTAATGTCTGCATTTTGTTTTTAAAATATGTTAGTACTATTTTCCTTCCTGCTTTGCAGTAGCTGAACAGTTGGTTTCCTTCAGTTACTGTGACTCATAGCAACAGTGGAAATCCAACTCTACAGATGGATGAGAAAAAGGGGAGTAATTAAAAGGAAGAATGCTGGATATTTTCTAAAATAGCTAACACCAAATTTAGAGGTATGTTTCACTGAAGCAGAGCCTTAGATATCTCCCTAAATAAAGACAATACTATTAGGAGTCTTACGCTTGCCTCAAGTTAGGCTAGAATTTTATTGCTCATCTCTTCTTTGCAGATAACACTTGCCCGTACTAACTGATGGTCTACATCTCTTAGACACTGCTCACAAGGAACTTTCGGTAACTGCTACTGTCAGTGATTCAGAATTTAAGCAACTGGTTCTAAAACCATATTCAGAAGCATGGAGTTGGCACACTGCCTGTGGATGGGGTTGGGATCTTTGCCATGTTGGCAAGTATCAGTTTCTAGATCAATCAGGAATTTAAAGTCTGCTCATTAGATATATGCTCAAAAGCAATACACACTCACAGAGGTGTGTGTGTATATATATATACACACACGTGTATATATGCACACATACATACACACATGTATTTGCAGGCCACTGTTCAAATACTGAGGAAATTTAAGGGATGCCTCCTGCAATGACCACAAAGATACACACACTTGCCTAGTTTTCCACTGAAACTGTGAGGACAGTCCTTTGTTCCCAACCAAAGGACTACCAAGGACTGTGATTACCAGCACAGGTCAGGTCAGACTCCCACAGGCATGTGCTAGGGACAACTTTACTAAGAACAAGATGTACTTCTGCTTAAGACTAGAACAATGTGCACTCCAAACTAGCCAGGGAGTACTCACAGAGTCACTTGAGTGAGAAACATTAGTCACTCTGCCTCACTTCTCAATAGGCTCTACAACAGCTGTGATGCCAGGCAGTAAATACCAGTTTTTATTCCAGCCCTGCTCATCACTCCTGTATCAGAGAGGAGAGATGGAAGAAGGACTGGATTGTCTTTTAGCCCACATCATTGCAGAATAAGAGCCAAACTAACATTGCATAAGCAGTTAGATACCTATAAATCTCAATATTGGTACTCTGCAGAGATCAGACACTTACATATACCGACTTTTCTGCTTCACCCCACCAAAGAATATGGCCATGTGCAATTCCACTAAATCTATACTGGACTAAAAGATGGAAAGGAACCATTACCAGCCATGGGCAATCCCTACCCTTATTCTTTACCATCCAACAAAGCCTCCTCCTACATGCTCTGGAAATGGGGAAAAAGTAAACCAAGAACCTGGTTATCCTAAATCCATAACCCTTTTTGGACAACTTGCCCTCTCTCAGCATTGCCTTAGCTTTCAAGGCTCAGAGAACCACTATATCTGCAATTGTCATAATATGAGTCCAAAATCAAGCTCTCAAAGGCCTTACAGAAACTCATAAAAGGTTTACATTTATAAAATCAGCCAATAGTTTTCTCATCTTCTCCCCATTCCTCCCTCCTCCCCTCACAGTGTGAGCCGTTTGCTCCCAAAAATATAGTGACATTAAAGAGTACAATATACTTACAGCCAGATACATAGCTGCATATACGCTTAGTGCTGCTTCTTTGGATGGGAATGTCTTTCTGGCTTTCATGATAAGATCTGGATTTCCAGTACAGGCATGTACGCTACTGATGAATTGTGTATACTGTTTACATCCAAGTGCTGTATAGTTGGGTTTACAAAGTGCAAGAAAATGTGGTGCAAGATTCCCTGTTACTACTTGTCCAGCATTTACAAAGATGTCCGTAGCAAACAGTCCAAATGCGTAAATTCCTGAAGAGGGAAACAAAGAGTTAAACTTTCTGACAATTTCACTCCAGGGTAACGTATTATAGCATTTATCATAGTAATATACACCTCATTCCATTTAAGAACATTAAAAACCCTCATGGGTATTGTACCTTGAAGGTCCCGTCTCACACTGGAGATGGTAGTTCCCTACATAATCGCAGCAGCAACACTGCAACGTACCCACACACCTGATCTCTCTCCATCCTTGAAGCAGCACGCTCAACTCTTGTGCAAGTAGCCCGCTTTCCCAGGTCCCCTAGCTATGAATCTCCACTGTTTGGGGTAGCTAGCCATTTTGGTACTTAACTTTTGCCCATGTTCACTAAACAGAAGTGACAAAGGCAAATTCTTCACCCTATAAATCTGCTTGAAAACCAAGTCAGTCAGGCACTGATGGAGAAGTAACTTGAAAACTTGTAACACATACTGGACAAACATTTTCTTTTCCCTTGCAGCTGTAAAGAAGCTAAAGTACTGAATAATTCAATATTGCCATGCACAAGTTGTCTTCAGCTGTCTGCTACTGGGTACATCTCTATGCATGGCATATTAATCACAGTATCAACACAGTGAGCTAAAGATCTATACATCTGAGAAGCTACTTATGCTAGAGAGGTTTTTATCAGAAACACCAGCAAAGCATTTAACACATGTACTCACTTATTAGAATGGAAATGTATCTGATGAGTTACAAGAAAACAGATTTCTGCTATTCTGAGGTCTCTTTCTATCCTTTTAGAAGCAGAAAATGAGCCCTGGAAGGAAATGCCAACATAGCACCCTGACTGGGAGGCAAAGCCAGCAATACATATTCAAATTCCACCTAAGCTACAGATTTCCTCTTGTATTTACAAGGGTAAATCACCTTTCCTTTTCCATACTTCAATTCACAGTGAGTATAGGGTGAGTTTTGGCAACTCTGAACTTCCTGGGGCACCACAAGGACTTTAACGGATGTACAACAGCAGGCATGATCCCACAGAAACATGTGCATTTCTAAAGGTCAGGTTTTTTCCTCAGCAAAGCTAGAGGGCTGAGGGTGATTTCTGGGATCCTGGCTGGTCAGCAATGTCACACTAACACTAATTCACCTTGAGGTGCTAGGCATCGGTGAGTAGCAGACTGTGCCTAGCCCAGTCACTGCACAGAAGGGCCCTTTCAGCAAGCCCCAAGGGTGTGTGCGCTGCGCCAACACAGGCGGCCGCATCACTTTGTGTGAGGGTAATGGACAGTGATGTCTTTTCTGGCAGAACAGTGGGGAAGCCGTACTTCATTCCTCCCTCCCAATTTTTCTTTTTGCTCCTGTGAGCAAGGAGGGCCCACCAAGTGGTAAGGAGACACAGGCACTGATTACACACAGAGCAACTGGGGCAGGAGAAGCTCCTCATCAGTCCCCACCTCCTCTGGACCTATGCAAGACAGTCTCAGTCTTAGTGACTTTTAACAATCTAGGCTGACAGGAGCAATTGTGATCTCAGAAGGCAGGTACAGCCGTTACACAAACACTGCAAATACAGACACAGCTGCACATCCCCTCCCTCCCCCTGCGACGGGGGCACACAGGAGGATTAGCTGCCCCAAGGCTTCATTCCTCCAGCTGTTGCTCAGATACAACTGTGAGCGAGAAGAAAACAACAGAACAGAGCCCTGCTATGGCATCCCGGCATGTACTAAAAAGCAGCATCTGGGAGTATCCAATAGAGATTTTGAGTGGCTGTACTTCATAGAATCATAGGATCATTCGGGTTGGAAGGGACCTTAAAGCAGCATCTAGTTCCAACCCCCCTGCCATGGGCAGGGGGCAGGGACTTCTCCCTCCAAACACATTTACAATGAATTAAATCAAAAGGATGGCATCTCATCTACTAAAGTCAATGGGGGTGTTAAACTGACTTCAGTGGAGCATGGATTATGTAGTTTTCTGCTAGAGACTATAATACAATCCCCAGGCTAAAAAAGTACCTAAACTGGCCTTGGCTTCAAGCACACACTTATATCCCAATGCCTTCAACTTTGGCTGCTGTGTGTGTGCATAACTAAAAAAAAAAACAAAACACTATAGATATGGCACAAGCATATCTCCTTTCTCCACCCTATTCCAGGCTTGCTGGTTGTTTTTCAGCCTTGTGGTCCCCTTTTCTTCTATTTTTACTGCTATTTCTGCAACTATTTTTTATCCAAACTTAAAAGAAGCTGCATTTGCTACCCAAAAGGACAGAACTCACTGCACCTGAGTTAAGACTACACATGGAATGTTTTATGGTTATCTGAATATCTTCCCCAGGTCAAAATTAAGATATAATTTATCACTCTCACCATTCAGAAAATGAAAGCATTAATTTTGCTCATACCAAGGAATCTGATGGTCCTGCGCACCAGTGGATTTATATAACAACAGTCTCCAGTTAATATTGTTTTTTCTTGGTTTTCAAAATCCTTTGTAGCTAACTGTAGACAAAACACTGCAGTTTCTCCAACGATAATCTTAGGGAAGGAGGAAAAAAAGGGGAGAGAAACGGTAGATCAGTTTACAACAAGTAAAATATACTAATATTACAGAGATGGCTACCTCATCTTAAGGAAATACGACCAAACCAGCACAAAAGACAACGTAAGTGAACCAAGTTATGTTAATCTTCTTATGAGGAAAACATCCCTTATGGCTTGTTTTACTTTAATTGCATTAAAAGAGAATAAACTTCTATAACCAGGACTTGGAATGAGCATTACATATCCTAGTTTTCAGGATGAGGGGAAAGAGAAAGAAATGTGTTAGTTCAAGAGCAATAGATTGCATAATGCACAGGACATGGACCAAAGCAAAGGCCTAATCCAGGAAGATGCTGAACATTTCAGATCCCACATAGCTTTCACTGACACTCAGTACTTCACAGCATTAAACTCTACATTTTGGACCATGGTGGGGGAGGGGGGAAAAAAAAGAAGGAAAAAAAAAATCACAGAGCTCCAGTTCACATCAGAGGATTGGTCTGCCAGGTGGTACTTAAAAGGGTTTGATTCATATTTTGCCAGCTAAGTTAATCAAGTTTAGCTTTAGCTCCTCATGCTTGAGCCAAGTGTCACCACTGATATTTTAACATTAAGCATGGCCTGTTTCACATTCACTACACCAAAATAAATAAAGCTCTTATCTATAGGTCATTCACATTACAGCTGGCACAAAATATTAAAAAATAAATCACAAATAAAGAAAAACACTGATTTTGAATGTAAAATATGCCCTCTGAGGTGTGTAAAACATGACTATTAGTTTACTCATGACAATTATGGTATTGAGACTTAGTAGCCAAAGCCAAACCTTAAGCGTGTATCTACCTAAACCAGTGATACTGAAGCTTTACGGCAGGCAGCACAGGTATGGTCAAAAAAAGCAAAGCAGAAACGTCAAATACTGACCACTACATTCCACGTTTGATTCACTATGGGACTTAAAGGCAAGGATCTTCTACTCTTCTTTATGAAAAGCAGTAAAGTTTATCAATATGTACATCACACTTTGATAAACAGGAATGAAGACTAGAAAACGGAAGTCTTAATACTACACAAATACAAGAAATAATACCATTAAATCTGATTCGTTGTCTAGGGTTTACTAAAATTTTGACCTAACAGGAAATTATAAAACTTTTCAGATATCACAATAGGTCTGAACAGTTCTACAAACAGTACTGGTTGAAAAAAAACCCAACAAAACAACTACGGATGATGGCTCATAAGCACAGTTTGTTGTCAACAGGAAGAATGCAATTAACGACCTTCCTTAGTTATTTGTAGATCTACACAGATGACACTGGGCTAAGTTGTGACACACAGAGAAGGCAGGTGTTTCTTATAAATGATGTGGCACAAATAACAAAAATAACCATGGTGACAAGTGTGTAAGAAGCAAGATTCAGTTGGTCACAGAAACAGTCATCATCTATTACTTGAGACTGGCTTCAGATCCTAGGGGAATGTTTAGATGAAACAAATTTCAATACCTGAACAAGTATCCTCTCTACTATGATGCAAGCAAGATGTTAGCATACTGAAGTACAATTCCTTCATCTATAATTAACAAATGATCAGTATACATATGAAATGAAACTCAAGCTCGAATTCAAGGTCATCAAAATTATTAAAATAATGAGAATTCAGCCAAATGACCCCTACAGCTCTATTAAAAAAAAAAAAAAAACACAGAAAAAACCACACCACCCCCACACAACAAACAACAAAAAAACAGTTTCAGTATGATTCATAAAGGTGAGAACTGAAACACTAAGATTTTTCATGTGAGTCACAGTAACTCCCTTCTTTCCTCTGGAATAATGAAACATCAAGGACTAGGCAACCTGAACAGAGTCAGATTCTGCATTTAACTGATTTTTTTTTTTTCCCCAAACTCAATAGATTTCAGTAAAATTATTGCAGATTTCTAAACTCCAAGAAAACACAGAATCCAGCACAAAGGAAGTATCTGCAATATACAGTGCTCAACCTTTTGCAAGAACACAAAGCATACCAGCAAGCTCAACTCTCCACCTCTCAGAGGAGTCTCTGAATCTCCTAATCTAGAAATACAGTTTCTTCTTTTTGGCTGGTAAGGAAGCTGGGGTTAGCAGATGGGAGAACTGCACCTTCAGTTATAGGAAAGGAGATCCTCACTTCCAGCAAGCTGTCTTCAACAGCTGCATCTAGGTCCTTGCTGCTGGTAACCATTTTTTCCAGTTCTATTTCCTGCCTTTGATGGTGACCTGGATGAAGAAAACCCTCTGCTCCAAGAACAGCAGGGAGCAGTGTTCAAGTTCTTAGCTGAATGAAAATACTCTTGGATTGGGTACATAGGTGCAAGGGTCAGAACAACGAAGAACTCTGCTAAAGACAAAAGCTTTGCTATACTAGGCCTAGTCCTGTACCCTGAGAAGCAGTGAGAGTGGAATATGCCACTGAGCACAACAAGCATTCATCTCTATGCCTCTGTAGGCTTACTTTGACAGAATCAAGTACAAACAGTTGGACTTGATCTTAAAGGTCTTTTCCTACCTAAAAGATTCTGTGATAATCCTTCTGGAATTCAGCAATAAATATAGGTTCCGTATTTTTCTGTAGTGGCAGCTCAGTTAAAGTTGTTCTCCTACCTCCATCCTTCAGCACAAGCACTGCTTATATCAATAATCAGCCTATTGACATTTCAGAAACAGAAGGAAAATCTTTTTCAGTCTCAGTAAGTCCCAGGAGAGATTCTGTTTCCCAGTGCAATTCCATCACCTTCTGCCTGTACCACTGTCAATAATCAGCTCTACAGGGTAGAAGAAAGGGATGGCAACCACCCTCTCGCCCTTTACCATAATTTGCATGCCTAGTATATTCCAGGAAGGGACAATTTCTGTATTCCTCTGGCACAGGGACCACTATTACCTCTTCCACTGCATACACAAGTTGCAAACAGTCATCAGATAACATTTAATACAACAGCATTTCTTGCGTACTTCTTGCCTAAGTCTTGGGACAAAAAGCTTCTGGAATATTCCAAAACTGACAGTGACGAAGTGCAATGGAGAATCTGAAAGCTCTGACAACATCAACTTTTGGACAGAGCTAAACAAGTTCAGGTACAGAAATGTAATCTGCAATTAAGAGAAATGAGGATATTAGAAGTACTTTTACCTTACTGTAACATGGTCATACTACTTTAGGTCACTGTACGGATTTCTTGAAGAATACTATATATTACAAATCTTAGCTCGCACATTTTAACAGCTGTTAAAAGCAGAGGCCATCCTTCCCTAAGGCTGAGAAAACCTTTTGACATATAATTACAGCATGTAACGTATAAGGAGAAGCAAAATTTTCACCTGAAGACTAACAATACACAGAGCAGGCTTTCCGGTATTCTAAAGAACATATATATATAAGATATATATATACACATAATGTTCACAGTGTGTAGATAAAAGTGTAACTGTTAGAAGAAAAAGCAAGACAAGAAATCATGCTACGGGCATCAGCCTAAGCTCTGACAGGCAGTGATCAGGTCCCTGTGTTATTACAGCTTCCTTCTGTAACAGTGGGGAAGGCTCTTGGACCTGGATCACAACATAAAGTGTAATAGGAACAAAACAAAAATCACTCTATATAAAGATATTTAATATTAATATATACTTCATAACTAGCATTTGGATAATCCTTTCTTTTTATGGAACCACGGAAAACAAATATTAACCCAGCATAATCCCTTTTCTCCAGGAAAAGTTCTGGTAACCATCTCCATGGCAATAGTATCCTGTCTGTAACATGACAACCCATTTGACAGCCAGGAACAGAGTTTGGGAGGGGCGTGATCTAAAATTAATATTGCTTCTTGTTTCACCCCTTAGCACCTGAGGTTGATTTTCATAGTGGTTTGGTATTATTAATACATTTATTGCCAACCACCCAATACCTGTCTCCTTCCTTGTTTTCTGCACAGGATACTTAGATTTTTTCCTACACCGATTTCTTCCTCCCAAATAAGTTCAGGGTTTTTTTTCTGTATTAGTCATTTTTCTGATTCTAGGCAAGCTGTTCCTAGTTTTAGCACTGCATGTCAATTTAGAAATCTAATTTGTCCTTCCCAAAATCATCCATCCAGTATATTCTTAACTTGGTTCTAAATCCTGAGTACTTTTTCAACTTGAAATGTCAAACCTGATTCATTCCAAATCTTAGAGCTAGAGCAGCTCTGACCTTGTTGATTTTGCAATAAACTGACTCCATAAACAAAATTCCTAGCATCACATATGGTTTACAACAGCCAGCACCTATATAAATAAATTATCTTAAATCTGCACTTCTGAAATACCAATGAAGTTTATTTTATGGACTGCCTTTTCACCTATGAGATAACTTCCTATAAAAACCCAGGATTCAAGCAAGATGTAAACACTGTTTGGATGACAAGATAGCTGAGGGTATTTTAATGAATTTAAACAAGATAAAACCTGAAATCTAAGGTCAATAATCTCTATTGGTGTTAGGAAAGAAATTTCTGCCTACACAGTTCATAGAACTTGCCAGATAACCACTACGGTAGGATATACAAATGTTCATGAAATATTTCACATGGGCCAGGGTATGTGGTAGAATGCACGGTTCCCTCTCTGCCAATTCCCAAGCTTATGCTGTAGCTACAGCAACCACTCAGCTAGGTAAGCAACACTGAAAACCAGTGACTGCATTAAAAAGACTACTAAATATTTATCCATGTTTGAACATCTCATGTTATTCCTGGAATACTGTAATTCCTCTTCTGACTTTTGTCATTGTATTTCTCTCATTTAGGCATGACTTGAACCCTAACCAAGGCTTCTGTGAGACAGTCTTCAAGAAATAACATGGCAAGGGCTTGTCTCTTCAGGGAATGAGCATCTCAAGCAGTTCACAGCCCTGCTTTTGTCTCTAGAATAATTTTCCTCCTACTTGCTTAAAGGGCAAGAAGGGAAGCTGGGAACTAGAGCTAAAAATCCTGGGGATGACCTTTGTATCTCCAGGCAATTTGTATCATCATTTAAGTTGCATGGGCTCCCCATTCATTTTATTTGTGAGTTCCCACTTAAAAAAGTGTGGGGTAGATTTCTTTTTAAAAACATGGCTTTCATAGGTTTTGTTGTTTCTGTTCTCCATCTTCTTAACAGGACCATGGGCTATTTCTGGCCTACTTCCCCTTTAAAAAGGCCATCAACATACCACAGAGCATAGTGGTTTCTAGAGTTTGGAAAACCTAGCAGCATAAACCCCAGCCTATAGTGATGCTGTAGATGAGCTCCACGCTCCATTTTAAGCTAAAATTGCTGTGTGACGTGACAGCCCTGGCAGAAAAAGCAGCAACAGTACTTCCAGCAGTAGCAATTTCAAGTTCATTATGCAGAGCTTTCCCTTGAGGCCATTTTCTTGGTGTTTTTCTTGTCCTCATTGCTTCTTGCCTGCTTAAACTGACAGCAAATGCCCCAGTTGATTTTTACAGGAGTAGGTTTTCTATAGTAAAAAATGACCAGTATTTTTGAGAAAAAAAAAAAATAAATCCTAAATAAATCTGTCTGCTATTGATTGAATACAAAATATCCCCCCTTGCATTCAGTGTGGACATATAGGACTATACTGCATAGCAGTTTCTGAAGGCCTGGAGAAATTATGTGAAAAGAAAATTGCTTTCTAGAGAAAAATATGGAAAAAATAATTAGGCTTTATTTCCAAGCAAATTTTGTTTTAAAAATGTACCGTCCATTTTTTGAGAAAAATGTAAAAATTTTAATAGAGTTCTTAGTATACATTTGGCGATGGCCAATTACAAAAGAAAAATAGCATTATAAGATTATATAATAGTCAAATATTACCTGCTTTACTTATTTCTCTGTAGTACAGAGTATGGGTATATGCTACTAAACACTAATGTTACTTCTCACAGGAACAAATATCCTTCACTGATCTTTGTAATACATTGTACACACAGTCAGTACATAACAAAGGTAAAGGTTGCTCACTCTGTGAAGACTATTGCTATGGGCAAGTGAGTCACATAATAACCAAGCATTTATAACCAGGATGCTTCAAGTGAACCCCATGAGCACATAATCAGACATGGACAACTTCATCATTCACATAATTAATTATCTCCATTCATTACTTTACCATATGACAGAAAAAAATTAAATATTTTTAAGTACAGCGTCTGTAAAGCTTCCTTCCTCACGCCCTTTCTTTTTCTTACCATACTGATCATGTATGCAAATGCCATCTCTTCTAGAGCCTGCCTGCTTTATCCTACAGGCAAACCCTCTGCACAGCCGCACACTATCACCAGGGCCGGAATCACACAACGTCAGAGCAATGTTTGCTTACATAAAAGATCATTTTGAGAAACTTACCAGGACCCTGCTATTCTGAGTGGAACTAAGAGAAGGCTTAGTCCCATCACCACAGCGGGTGCGTCGTGGCGTGTGACAGCAGGTCCCACATTTGATGCTCCATAACAGAAGCAAAGGGGTACGCATACAGCCCCACAGGGTACCCCGGCTTGGCTAGGCTCTGCCTTCACAGGAACATTCGCTCTGTATCCAACCTGCTTTATCTGCTGCACTAGGCATTACATCCCCTACTCCTGTCTACTAAACCTTTTATATCACTGGGAGATGAAGAGTAGGCTGCTGTGCATTGCGGTTTTCCAGAGGTTTAGAAATGGCCAGGACACCAGGAAAACAAGCTCAGTAATGCTAACATGGCAGTCTGGGAGCCAAATAAGAGTCTGGCACCTCTCTCCAAAACTGTCTAACTGCTGGCACAGCTTCACAATGCTGAGACAAGTATTGTTGGTGAACACACTTCAATAGGTAGAAGATAACAGACTTCAGTGAGAACTCTTACCCACGCACTGAGCTTTTCTAATTTTAAAAATTAACACCAGGAAAGCTAGGAAAAAAGATTAATCTAGAGAAACTTCTTAACTTCTAAAAAAAAAAAAAAAAAAAGTAAAATTGATCTGAAAATGGTGAGGGGAAGAGAAAAGCATCAATTCAAAACTGCCTTCTAAAAGCATCAAATCACATTTCAAACAGCAAAGTTACTTCAGGCTACAATATTCCAGATAAAGATGAATTCCATACAGCATGTACAGCTCTGCACTCAGCTGTATCAAGGAAGTCCTCTATTGGACTTAAGCGATACATGTGAAAGACTGAGTTTCC